ATACAATAAACAAATGTTGAGGTTAGCACAACAAATGGAATGATGTGCAATTGAGTCACTATGACGAGCGCAAATTAATACACCAGAGCTGGAAGACCCACCTGCCAGTTCCCGGTGTGTCGGTCAGCTACAACAGCACTGGGGAGAGAGTTATGCATAAGAACGAGGAAAAAACGAACCGGGGGCCAGCTCCTTATCCCCACTACTTTCAGGCAGCCTTAGGATGCAAAAGCAGAACGGCAAGCGGTGTAAACGTTGTAGTTACATTAATGGAAACAAACTGAAAACAGTATGGCGTGACCCAGATGTGCTTATCACCGGCACCCTTCAATGATGTAGTCTGTAATGACATGACAAGACACAATAACCTTTGGATGATATTTTTTCTGGTGGCACACTGGTGGAAATGGAGCAGTGTGGATCAGTGTGGATGAATGAAAATGAAAACAATAGGATGGTAACGCCTTATGTGACATTGTAAATGTAATTATATTACCTGAAATCCTGTTAGTAATGGGTAATATAAAAACATAATATATTACTGTAACGTGTGACTTTTCTAATGTGTTACCACCAACACTGGATGAATGTTAGTTCAATTTTCACTCTCTTTTAGCTCTGGTTAGGTTGCCACAACCTCCTGAGAAAAAATCTGTCTCTTTAGCTGCTAAATTCTCCACTGCGTTCAGCAGCTAGTCTCTAACAATGTCTGTCTACTGTTTGCTGCTGAGCAAGTAGTTTACAATGGCTTTACCAGAGCTTTGTCACTGAAAACAGTGCTGCTGCTGGAAACCAGGATGATGAGCTCAGTGTGCACAGTCGGAAAGCCAAGACAATGAGCTCAAGGATGCTAAAATGCTCAGTAGAGCTGCAGGAAAGGGTTGGTTATAATGCTCTGTGGGCACATCACTGCAAGCAAGCCCTTTCACATTGCACGTTGGTCCTTTCACATCGCACATGTTAACAATTGATATGATCAATTGTTAACATAAAAGTCTTGATTAATGCAGCTTTAATGAGTTATTCTTCTGTCTGAATAATTCTAGATAAAACTGTGCTCTGAGAGCACTGAGCACTCACATCCATTTACTTGAGATCTGTTCCATGTTTCTCTCCCCTTTGCATTGCCTCTGCTAGCTACTGATGTACAGCATGAACTCTGCTACGGTAACACAATAAGCAGACTGGATGCCATTACCTTAGAGAATCATGTGCAGAAAAAAGTTGGCTTTTTCAAGGCTTTGTGGGATTTTACAAGCTAGACAATGTTCCAGATAGGTGTTTCAGTTGGCCCTGCTTGATGATTATTGGTGGTTGAATATTTGCATTTGCATGTTTAATGTACTTCTAATTCTTTCAATTTGCATAATGGCCCTTTTGCTATCCATCTGAAGTCACTTAGAGGCAAGGGAGCAAATGGCTCGCTGATCTCTGCCGTTTCACTGCATAATTTTCCCATTCCCGCTGATGGCAGTGGTTGGCATCCATTGTAATAGGCCATCTGATTAGTGATTAAAATGTTTACCGGTACATGGGGAAATAGATCCAGGCAATAGGCCACCTCTGGAGCCTAAGCACGCAGCTGGCTTCACATAGAGAAATGGCTTGGTGGCTGATGTCTTTTTAACCATGTACTTAGTTGGCAAAATGGTGAATGCTGGGAAAACAGCAAGAGGGAGGTTTACTGATGCATTAAATCATACATGCCAATAAGATTATAGCTTTTTTTACTTTACCATTTGTCACAGATGGGTGGATTTACAATTGCACGATGATGTTAGACTAGTTGATGTTGGTTCTCTGGTCAAAATCAAGGCAGTATTAGATTATTCTGAGTTCATTACATATGGTTCTTGTTGCTTTGGAGAACAACAAACCTTCCTATTCTACAGGCTGTTTCCTCTTTTATTCCTTCAAATGCAAATCTGTATAATATGGGTTGGATGTCAAATCACACTGCAGAGTAAACACACCATGGTGAGCTGTACATGTTTAATGTCAAGAGCAGGTTGTTCACAATCAGAAGATCAGCAGTTTGATCCCCAGCTTCTCTATTCCGCATGCCAAAGTGTCCTTGAGCAAGATACTGAACCCAGTGGCTGCTCCGTCGGTGTGTAAGTGTGCTAAAAACTGAGCAGCAGGTGACACCCGGCATGGTAGCCTCGGCCACCAGCGCATGACTGTGTGTGAATGGGTGAATGTGACTCATAGTGTAAAAAGCACCTTGAGGGGTCAGATGCATAGAAAGGCACTATACAAATGCAGGTCCATTTACCATTTAAGCTACTTTAGAATCAGAATCAGTTTCAGTTTTAGCCCCACTTCAAATATAATTATTTTGAATAAAAGTTTGTATTGCTAAATTATATATTTATATATTTTTTCCTTTCATCCTGCTGCCATTATAGTGATCATTTCTTTGTCTGAAGTCTTTGTCATGCACATGCATACATGTTAAAGTTGAATATAAACCTGGTTACATGTACAGTAGGCTATATATAGCCAAGAAATCAGCTCTCTCCAGGAGAACTAGCTGTGGAATCAGGTTTCTCTAATGCCTGCTACATCAATTACAGAAACCAGGTCTCTCCTGTACATGGTGCTTCTCTTCAGCACATGTAAAACCACAACATGCCATTTTTTATTTTTTTATTTCTGGTAGTTGATGAATTAAATAAACATGATGAATTACAGTAATTAGCTAAATGTAAAAATTTTGGTAGAGCAGATTTTCTAAAAATTTGGACAAAGCCAAGCTAGCCGTTTCCCTGTGCTCCCAGTGTTTTTGCTGAGCTAAGATTAATTGCCTTCTGTCTGTCTTCATATTTAGCATACAGCCCCGAGAGTGGGTTCAATCTTCTCATCTCACTCCCGACAAGACAACAAATGAACTTGGTTCCCAAAATTTTCAGATTACTGCGGAGTTCCAATTGTTACCTGTTTATGCAAGATCATATAAGTACACAGGGCCCTATTTAAATGATAATATAGCACATGGTCTAAAGTGCATAATGCAAGTGAATTTAGTGATCTCAGTGATCTCACTGCTGCAATTATCGTGGTCCTTTTAAGCAGCAAAACTAAAAACTGTAGTTAGAAACTTGACAGAGAAAACAGAACTACACTTCAATCATCTGAAAAAATCACTGAAGTTACACTGCTCCTCATGTGTAAATGCAGCAGGAAGTTGGACAGCAGCGCTCGACTTCAATATTTTGAACTTGCGCGAAGAGGCAAATGACGCGAATTTTGCGCGTTTGCTCCATTTGCGTTGCATCATTCGCGTTGCGCCATTCGCGTCATTTGCGTCGCGCCATTCGCGTCATTCGCACTGCCGGCACAAATTTGCATCTATTCGCGTCTTTACATTGACTTTGTATGTAATCTTATCGCGCGAAAAATTAGCCTCGCACCCGGTGTGAACACACTGTAACAGTGCCCCAGACTACACTTCATTTTAACGCCGGAATTCCACTGGATGTCCCTGTCCCGCTGTGTTTGTTGTGCAGAGCAGTGCAGCTCCACTGGACAGCGGAAGTCACGAGGACCCATGACCCAATTCACGCATAATTGCGCGATGTAACAAGATGTAGTTTCTATCAACAGAACCACAAAATCAGAGGAGTAGCAGGAAGACATCTTGGTGCACCTCCATGATTAACATCTCCTCGTCCATGGTGTCAACTAGGCTTGTGCTGATTTCCGGTTTAACCGGTTCGGTCCGGTTTAAGAACTCCACCCGGTTTAATTCATGTCAACCGGATAAACCGGGTGGGGGTGGGGGGGTTGGGCTTTTCACATCAGCGGCGTGTCAAGGGACTATATTCAACTTATCTTGCATTGTAACATGCATTATGACAACTTAATGAGGTTTATGTATGTTTTTAAATGAAGTGGAGGAGCCGCAGACTGCAGACTCCACAGCACTGTTGCCAACTCCTCAGTAAGAAGAGTAGCTATTGGCTGTCCTAAAAGTCGCTAGAAGTCGTTAAATGACATCATCAACTAATTTGCATAATTGTCCATATGCATGTAATTGTAATGGATGCTGTAGGAGAGAGGAATAACGTTGTGGGAGAGACAAAAACTGAGTAAAAAAAACACCCTGAATATGTTTAGAACTACAAATGAATGTTCTTTCAGTGATTTATATTAGACAAAGAAAATTTTACATTTACATCCCGCCCTGACTGTAGACCAGGTTGGGATCAGCCAGCGGCGGTTCCGCGCATGCACGATTCACTTGCAGTCTGGACACGGAGGAGTTAACATCTCCTACTCTGACTGCTGCTGGGAGGGAGGACTGGGCCGTCTGTGACCTTGGGTGTATTGGCGGTTAATACAGCATTATCACCACCTAGTGGGTTGGAAGCGCATTACACCTATAATGGGCTTTTATTTGGAAAAATAGCTCAAATGTGACCCCCAGTGGTAAAATTAGGTATATACTTCGATATATCGGTTCGGTTAGATATTTGGCTTTAAATCAAACCGGTTGTAAAATTTTCAAACCGGCACAAGCCTAGTGTCAACGGGGTGAAATGACAACTGAAAACCTCTGACCTGTTGATTTCAGGCCTGCCACCGCCCATTATGATGTTTTCAAGGTGTAGTGCAGGGAATATGATCTGCCGTGAACACTGTGTATTTTATTTTCTGTGCACAACTTCCTGCCCCGCACGATCTGCTCCGTGCTGAATTGCTGCGTTGTGCTCCGTTGTCCGGTAAAAATAGAAGTCCTGCGTATCTGTTGCGGAGGGCTCCGGAGCGCCGCAGCTGTGACGGAGCCGGAACACAGCACAGCCGCAGCGGGTGGAAGCATACACATTGACTAGAATTGAAACGTATCGGCTCCACTGCCGCTCCGGAGCGCAGACGCAACCAACACGTATCTGGTGGAATTTGGGGGTAAGACCTACATGCCCATGGACACACAGATGGGCGCAAGTACATTTGCTACTGACAACATGTGGACATTGGCTATGAAAGTGACAACTGTGTTGGTCTAAAACTAGTAATGACAGTTACGCTGCCATCTGCACCACTTTGCACCGGGTGAGATAGGGCCCAAAGACTGTCATGACGCCTGAGTGCTTTCACGCCTGATCACATCATGTGGAGATGGAAACACATACTGACCACATCAAATAAACCGGCAGACAAAGCATACATCATTTGTGATTGTGGGGCTGAATTACAATGACAAGTGAAAATCACACTACATTTATAATAAGATAAGACTTGGTGATGCTATGTTGATGCTCTGAGTATCCAGTCTCAGTTCTACAATGATGATTTTGTCATTGCCTGGAAGCGTCTGATTCGGAAAGGTGAAAGGTCATAGGAGGGCACTTCTCCCAGGGTGAGTTCACACAGGAGCTTGCCAATGATTGGTCCAAACTTGAAGCCGTGACCTGGAGAAGAGAAGTCATTACAGTGAGCAAAGTACGTACACAGATCATTAAACCATGTCAGATGAATCAGCATCCTAATCTGAGCAAATCTCGGCCGTGCACCTTGTAGTTAGCCTATAAATAGCCTGCATCTCTGGGCCTTTGTCTAAGTCAGGCGGTGGGTTCAAGCCCCACATGAGTGAATGCATAAAAGAAGAGTAAACCTGTTGCAATGCCTGTCACTGAGCATCTAGTCACTTTAGTGAACTGGGACCAAATGCTAAATTAAGGGGGATTTGTCCTTTCTCTGTGTAATGGCTTCATGTGCTCAAGCCCAGAAGTGAGATGAGAGAGTGCTATTTTCAAAATGCAGCAGTCTGATTGTCCTTGTTGCTAAGGTCTGAGAGGCAAATTGTGAATGTCAACAGGGTTTGAGGAATGCAGCACATCACCATCTGACAAAGGTCTCGGAGCTCCTGTGGATTCTGCCTGGCTTTGAAGTCATAAAAGCTTGGCTCTGACAGTTTGGCCACGTGAATTTTCATCTCGCCAGAGAAGGAGAATGGAAAACCTCAATAGATGGCCAAGCCCACAGGGTGACTTTGTAGCCATGGCAACCCCCCAGTACTTGCTTTAAAGCACTTGTGTCGGGCTTTGATGACAAATGCACGTTGTGAAGGAGGGGGAGGAAGGCAACACATTTTTTCTTCTGTATTAGGCAGAAGCCCTGTGAACTTCTCCAATATGACTTTGAGCATCTTTACTGCTGCTGGGGAACGAGCACAAAGAGCACAGGTAATAATTAATACAGACTAATAAAAAGAATAAGCAGTGCTGCTCTCTGAAGACAATGGGCCTCATTCACAAACAGTGTGTAAACACAAATCTGTGCTTAAACTGTGTATACAAGGGTTTCACGTACAAATACAGGATTCATCAATATTTTCTTACCTGAATTTTTCATACTCTGCCAACAGATTAGAACTGCCTCAGACCATGCGTTCACACAAATGATAAAGGCCCGGCTGCCTTAGAAAATTTAGACACATACCTTTGGACTAAATACATTCATAGCATATTAATACTGCATTTATTAAAAAGGGCTTTAATAAACAACAATATTAAAAACCATTAATTTACACATGCATCGGACAAATGTTCTAATTAAAAATAATGCCCTTTTATCCCCATCAGCAATGGTCATAATTAGAATATTTAATTTAATGGTGTCCCAGTTCTTCATTACGATGGAGTACATGTCATATTTAAATTGACCAGTTTTGGTGTGCACTATTTTTTGACTTGGCCATAATGATCGGTCATTCCCACAAATTTCTGTGCCATTGCTCTATGCAGAAAGACTCAGATCCACTAACACAGGCACAGAAAATTAGCCAATGTGCTTGTGCCATTAATCCAATTGTAATTTTGTATTTGCACTTCTTTTGTGCACAAAGAAACAACATTTCTACACACAGCTTAGTGAATGAGGCCCAGTATGATTTGAGTAATGCAACAATGAAGTTATGGTAATTAGCAATTTCCAACTATGGGGTTCAGAAAACTTAAGCTTTATGATATGAAAGTACCTTTAAAAGACTAGAATTACTGCCTTGCGGTTGTATGGCTCCACAAATGTGTCAAGTTGCAGTTACAGTTTACATGGATGCTTCACACACATCTTACCCCCAACAGCACAGAAGATCTATACAATCAGCAGTTTAAAGGTGGACACCGAAGTCACCAATTCAGTATCTGACCAGATGTCTCTCCTTCTGTTCTTGAGATATGACGTTGATAGTGGCCAGAAAAGTGTATATATGGATTATTATGATGTCAACGTGACAACATGTTTTGTGAGGTCACAATGACCTTGACCTTTGACCATCAAATTCTAATCAATTCATTCTTGAATCCAACTGGATGTTTGCACTAAATATGAGGAAACTCAAGACCTTCATCACACCTTCTTGAGATATCACCTTGATGAAATAAGATGGATGCAAGGTCACAGTGACCTTTAACCACCAAATTCTAATCAGTTCATCCTTGAGTCCAAGAAGAAGCCAAATGTGAAGAAATTCCCTCAAGGTGTTCTTTGGATACCTCTTTCATGAGGATGTGACTTATGAGTTCACAGTGACCTTGTCCTTTGACCACCAAATTCCAATCAGTTCATCCTTGTCTCAAAGTGGATGTTTGTGCTAAATTTGGAGAGAAGACATTTTAGAGACTGGATGTAGGGATGAAGAAACTGATGGATGGATGGCTAGTTACGAAAGCTAACAAACATGAATGCCTTACCCAGTGGGTGGTAGTTACAAATTACATTTACTCCAGTTACTGTAACAACATTTCTTGTAGTTGAGTATCTTTAAAAATCACTAACTTTACCTTTACTGAATTGTCTTTCATCTGAAGTATTGCACTTCGCTATTCCTCAAGTCACATCCATCACAGAGTAAAAACAAAAGACGAAAAGGCCTGATAAACTGTCAGAATGGAGCAAAAAGGGCACAAATCAGTGGCTGCAGCAAAGCAGATGCTGCTGGTGTGTCTGCAGCTCTGGGAGGGCAGAGGTCCTGATAGAAGACACCGTAACATACAGTACATGTTGTAAATGTATAGGGTCAATGGGCTGTCAGCATTTTGAGGAGTGTGGTTGCATCTGGACCAGACCAAGCAGTTTATTAACAGTACATGAGTGCAATATTACAAGGGATTACATCATGATGGAGGATGATTCTGGCTAGGAGAGACTGAGTGCTCTGGTTACATTTTGCTTTGAGAATGAAACCAGCTGAGAAGTTGAACCTAGAACAGACTGAAGAGGACTTTGCGGCCCACAAGACTGGCAGAATGTCAGGTGACAACAAACTCACAGATGGATGTAACTCACTGTACAGAAAGACAACAACAACCATCCCACATGATGTGAACATGGCATAAAGGCACACCACAGCAGCATCATCTCAAAATAATACTACACTTTTATGAAATCAACATTCATGGAGAAATATCACTTATACTATATAATATATTACTGACTACTAGGGGTGGGGAAAAAATCTATACAGCATAGTATCGCGATATTTTGCATAGTGACATTTTAATACAACTTTTGGTACTAGAATAATAAAAATCAATTGCTTTTTCTGTCCACTAGATGGTGCTGATGTTTTTGTTCCTGATGAGGGCAGCAGAGGTCTCAGTCAGTGGCATTTCGCAGAAAGTTAATCAAAACAAAGATGGAGGCACCGGAAAAAAAAAATCATGAAATGCGCCGTCAGCATTTAAATCAAACGTCTGGACTTATTTTGGATTTTTTGACACAGAAGGAAAGGAGGACTTGGCTATGACACATGCCATTTGCAAGTAGTGTCATATGAGAATAAAGTCTCTGGGAATACGATGAACATGAGGGCTCACCTATCACACCACCAACTGGAGACAGCATTAGCCACTTAAGGGGCCAAGCTAACACTAAAACCGCTCTGCTTAAAAATCAACCAATGCTGGACACACTTTGCTTGACAAAATGACCATCCAGCTCTGAGAGAGCTAAGAAAATAACACAGTCCATCACCTATTTTACATGCAAAGATCTGTGTCCATAAAGCATTGTTGAAAACAAAGGCTTTTGTTAAATGCTAAAACAATACAGCTGTACCCAAGCTCTACAAAGAAGTGAAGCATTAAGTTGAGAAATCTTTGAGTACAGCAGAGGGGTTGGCATTAACTTCTGATGCCTGGACTTCAAGGTCAGTGGATTCATATGTGACTAAAACAGCACATTATCTCACAGAGAACTGGCGACTGCTGTCTTACGTTCTCCAAACTAGAGCAGTACACCAAAGTGCAAGAATGGGGGACTGCCAACTAAAACCTTGTCAAGACAGACAATGCTTATAACATGGGTGTTGTTCAGTTAGCAGAATACCTGCATGTGAAGTGTTTCAATCATGCACTTAATCTGGCCTCACAGAGGGCGTTACATCTGTCAACAGTTCAGTTTGTCAAGTGTATGCAGCATATCCGACAGGTTTTATGACAGTGTTGGTCACTCTTGCGGCTTTGCATCACATTTTGCTGCAATGAATATGATTAAAGTAAGATGTGCACTGAAAACTTCATCTTACAATGTGAAACTGATGTTGACATTTTCCTTTGTAGAAATAATTTGCAGTTGGATAAATGGCAATTGCAGTAATATTGTAACATGACCAAAGTATCATGATAATTTTGTATTGTATCATATACGATAATATTGTATTGTGGTTCCTCTTGTGATTCTGAGAAATAATTTCAAGGGGGAGACCAGACAAGACTCACCGGGATTATATGGCTTTTTAGAGCAAGATCTTGGAAACATCTGGTCAAATTGCCACAAAATTCACAGGGCATGATCCCTTAAAATATCAGTAATGCCCTGGCATGTTCTCTTGTTGCCTTAACATTTTTTGAGCATGATCATGCACCCTATCCCCCTACACTTTCTGAATTTTCAAAAGTGGAAAAGGTTTTCGTTCTTTTCAACCATCTTTCATACCAAATACACAAGTGGGGTAGAGCATAGCCCAACAGGAAAATATCCTTGCAGAAACAGCAGAGGCTACATACAGAGCTGCAGCATCCTCCATTGAACACGATGGACTTACTTTGCTCAATGCTGCACTTGTGCATTTGGTTTGATAGCTTCAAGAAAAGCAAAGTCATTAGTATGTTATTCATTTGACCAACATTTTTGTACTGTGGGTCTTTACACTTTTAGTCCCTTTATCCCAGCAGGCTCCTCTGAAAGCAAAGGATTGTGAGCAGGATATTAATTACAGATATAATTAGGTAAAGGACAGGACTGCATGAAGAGATGGAAAAGTGCCAGGAGACAATGGAAAGAACTGTAGGAGAGAAGAGGTGGAGCCGAGTCGGCCTTCTGGGTGCCTCCGCCATGTTAATTAGAGAAGAACATGAGTGTAGACCCGAAGCACAGGCACTTTCACCTTTCACAATGGACAAGAACA